AAAATGCAAATGGAAAATAAAAGAAAGCTGAAGTAGCAATTCTTATATCAGACAAAATAGACATTGAAAAAATGCTGTTACAAGAGACAAAGAAGCATACTACATAATGATCAAGAGAACAATCTAAGAAGAAGATGTAACAATTGTAATTATATATGCACCCAACATAAGAGTACCTCAACGTATAAGGTAAATGTTAACAGACATAAAAAGAGAAATTGACAGTAACACAAAAATAGTGGGGGACTTAACAACTCCACTTACATCAATGGACAGATCATACAGGCAGAAAATTAAAAAGGAAATACAGGTCTTAAATGACACATTAGACCAGATCAACTTAATTAATATTGGTAGAGCACTTCATCCGAAAGCAGCAGAATACACATTCTTTTCAAGTACACATGGAACATTTTCCAGGATAGATCACATTTTGGCCCACAAAGCAAGCCTTAGTAAATTGAAGGAAATTGAAATCATATCAAGCATCTTTTCCAATCATAGTGCTCTGATATTAGAAATCAACTACAAGAGAAAAAACTGGGGGGAAAAAAAACACAGAAATGTGTGGAGGCTAAACAATATGCTACCAAACAACAAATGGATCACTAAAGAAATCAAAAAAGAAATAAAAAATTACCCAGAGACAAGTCAGAATGAAAGCATGACAATCCAAAACCTATGGCACACAGCAAAAGTAGTTCTAAAAGGGAAATTTATAGTGATACAAGCTCACCTCAGAAACAAGGAAATTCTCAAATAAACAACATAACCTTACACCTAAAGCAACTAGAGAAAGAACAATTGGAACCCAAAATTAGTAGAAGGAAAGAAACTATAAAGATCAAAGCAGAAATAGACGAAATGGAGATTAAAAAACAATAGAAAAGATCAATGAAACTAAAAGCTGGCTCACTGAAAAGATAAACAAAATTGATAAACCTTTAAACACGCTCATAAAGAAAGAACAAGAGCACCCAAATCAAATGAGCTCATCAATGAACTCAGTAAAGTTGTAGGATATAAAATTGTTATCTAGAAACCTGTTACATTTTTATATACTAACAAAGAAATATCAGAAAGAGAAATTAAGAAAATGATCCCATTTATCACTGCATCAAAAAGAATAAAATACCCAGGAATAAAGCTACCTAAGGAGGCAAAAGACACGTACTCAGAAAAGTATAAGACAATGATGAAGGAAATTGAAGACAACACAAACAGATGGAAAGATATACTGTGTTCCTGGATTAAAAAATCAATGTTGTTAAAATAGCCATACTATCAAAGGCAGTACACAGATTCAAAGCAATCTCTATCCAATTACCAATGGCATTATTCATAGAAATGGAACACAAGATTTTTAAATTTGTATGGAAACACAAAAGACCCTGGGTAGACAAAAGAATTTTGAGAGAGAAAAATGGAGCTGGAGGAATCACACTGACTTCAGACTATACTACAAAGCTACAGTAATCAAAACAGTATGGCACTAACACAAAAACAGTTAGATAGGTCAATGAAGAGGATAGAAAGTCCAGAAATTAACCCACACACATGGGTTCAATTAACCTATGACAAAGGAGGCAAAGAATATACAATGAAGGAGAGACAGTCTCTTCAATAACTGGTGCCGTGAAAACTGGACAGCTACATGTAAAAGAATGAAATTAGAATACTCTCTAGCACCATATACAACAAAAAACTCAAAATGGATTAAAGAACTAAATGTGAGACCAGATACAATAAAACTCCTAGAGGAAAACATAGGCAGAACATTCTTTGACATAAATTGCAGCATCATTTTTTTGGCTCAGTCTCATAATGCAAATAAAAGCAAAAGTAAACAAGTGGGACCCAATTAAACTTAAAAGCTTTTGTACAGCAAAGGAAATCATAAATAAAACAAAAAGACACCCTACAGAATGGGAGAAAGTATTTGACACAACATTGTAAAATGGTTATAAATCAATAAAAAATGTTTAAAAAAAAAAGAATGGGAGAAAGTATTTACAAACAAAGTGACCAACAAAGAATTAGTTTCCAAAATATACAAACAGCTCATACAGCTTAATATTTTTTAAAAAATCAAAAAATAGGCATAAGACATAAATAAACACTTCTCCAAAGAAGACATACGGATGGCCAATAGGCATGTGAAAAAAATGCTCAATATTGCTAAATATTAGAGAAATGTAAATCAAAACTACAATGAGGTATCATCTCACACCAATCAAAATGGCCATCATTATGTTTACAAATAGTAGATGTTGGAGAGGGTGTCAAGAAAAAGGAACCCTTCTACACCATTGGTGAGAATGTAAATTAGTGCAGCCACTATGAAAGACAGTATGAAGATTCTTTAAAAAACTAAAAATAGGGTTACAGTATGATCCAGCAATCCAACTCTGGTGCATATATCCAGAGGAAACTAATTTGAAAAGATACACGTTCCCCAAAGTTCATAGCAACACTATTTACAATAGCCAAGACATGGAGGCAAACTAAATGTCCATTGCTAGATGAGTGGATAAAGAAGATGGATAAAAAAGATTATCATACTAAGTGAAGTAAATCAGACAGAAAAAGACAAATATTATATGATATCACTTATATGTGGAAACTTTAAAAAAAATACAAATGGACTTATTTACAAA